AGTCAACAACTTTACTCCTCCAAGTGGAGCCAGGGATGAGGAGGGCAGATTGTATGTAAAAAATGAACCTGAACGCTTTGCCATATGAATTGATACAGACGTACCCTTCCTCCTCATCAGGAACTACAACCTGTTCCGTTCCACCGACAGAGAGAATGCAGGCCTGAGGTGGGTTGATGATCGCGCTGAACGACGAAATACCGTACATTCCGAGGTTGGAGATAGTGATAGTGCCGCCCTATGTGGGTTGAAGAACCCAATTTTAGAAGGCAATGGATGTACAACCACACACACAGGCATGTCTTTTGATTGTGTTATGTGCTTGTGTGCTGCGCCAGGCTGCGTGCACACACGCATGCCTTGCTGCCAAGGCAAATCGATAGGCGCGACGATGGCACTCCGCGGTGTCTTTGTGCCACAACCAAATCGGCACCCTCATTAGCATGGAGAGCAGAAGAAAGAACCTGCCTGATATCAGTTTCCTCCAACATTTCACACTACGAAAAGAGGCTAAAGCTATGGCACCCAAAGAGCTAGCAATTATGAGGTCAAAGGTTTCACTTTCATTGTCTGAGAATAGATCTAGGAAACGCATCTCAAAGAGACTCGAGAAACCTATGACGGATGACATTGAGAGGCAAGAGATCAAGTAAAATACAAATGACCGTCCCAGGATGTGATAAAATCAAACGCTCTCTCAGACTCATTTAAAAGTATTTAAGGCAGTTTCCATAATCGTCATAAGGTGAGACGTGTGTTGCTATTTTCCATCATAATGGGAATGTCATAGGGTAAACAAATTGCGGATGCTTTCCATCGAAACGGGTTGACACCCGGCAGACTACCAAAATTAGTTGACTGTCAACACAAAAAGGTAATTAGTGTATGAGGAGAGGGGGGAGAGCCATGCCGAGTCCTAAGACATTCCTCTGCGATTTGAGCTACCCAGTGTTTACCCATCCAAACACGCACACAAGCAAGGAAAGCTTCCAAACCTAGTGGGAAAAAATGAAATGGGAAATAAATTTTACCAACTGAAAATCTCAACTGCAAGAGGAAAAAGACGCCCCTCCTAGTCTCAGAAGAGAAAGTCCCTGATACCGTAGCAAAGCGTAGCAGAAAATGGTAAACATTAGAAAGAAAATAACGAACCACGAAGTAGTTATGCATCTGGAAGAAGGAGCACCAATCGTTCCAGTTTTAAGGGAATCGTAGTCTTTTAACACCTGTCTTAAGGGGAATAATTTACAATGTCAACTCCTTTTTTGTCCACAGTTACAAAAGACACAGACAAAGCTGAGCCCTGGCCAGAAGGAAAGTTGGTGTCTGGAAAGGAGCGAATTCACACAGCCTCAACCCACCTGGAATTCTTCTGGCTTCAGCTTGTTCTCCCGCGCTCTTGAAGCCAAAGCTCGAACCTCCTGACTAATAGTGAGAATGCCCTAGGAAGCACACAGAAAGTCAATTTGGAGGCTCCAGAGATATGGTCGATGTGTACGAGGGTTGAACCAACCTTTGAGTCGGCGTTGAAGATGATGGGAGTGATAAGACCATTGGGCGTAGCTACAGCAACACTGACGTCAGTAGAAGCATAGCTATGAGAGAGATAAGAATGGGAGCATGTTCAGGCTTCAAAGCATTGTTAAAAAAAGCCAGTTACAAAAATGCAAGCACATTCAAAACTTCCAGGAGTAGCCAACACCAAAACCCGAAGGAACATGAGACAGTAACTTACCGACGAATAAAGTTGCCCATCCATGCAGAGTTGCATTCGGGCACCGCTTTGTTTGCGATTGCCATGGCCTTGATGAGGATGTCGTTGACGGAGACCTTGGCAGGTTTCTCACCGGGTGACGCTTGCTTCACCAAGGAGGCATTTATGTTTTCACGCAGCTTAAGGA